TCTCATCCAGGGTAAGCTGCAGTTTTGACTACACCTAGCTCACACCAGCACCTCTCTCCCCTCCCTAAATAAGGTAAACACATATTTGCAATTGCGATCAAAGACGTTACCTATTTTCAGCACAAGAAGGTTTCTCATTGAAGGTATGAAGACCAAGATAGTGTGGCCTTTTGTGTGATCGCAGTCTCCTTTCGTTGTATAGAGGTTGTTTGACCTTGTTTTCGCAACTTGGTCATATTGGTATGAAGATTTAGAGGAGCGCACCTAATACATTGTATGTATGAACATTTCTAAAGTCGGACCGTATTCGGACTCCGGACTAGGTGTGTTCCTCTAAGGTTTTTAAGTTCATATTAAATTAAATAAGTAAAGTATGACTTGATATCTTAGGGACTAAAAAGAGTTTATTTTAATCTCTCGACAAGAAATAAAAAAGAGTTGCCAGTAAAGAATTCATCATACCCGACTTTCGGAATCACTCAAGGTGTATAGTCGCGTAAAATGCAATGCATACTCGAGAGCAGTCTCGAAAAGATTAGACAATGCCGATGAGACAACCAGTAAATTGAGGCTGTTCTGAGTTATGGATGTTGAAACTAGCATATCCGATTGACGCTTTTCAACTGTTGTGTCAGAGTGCAATAGACCTTCTGAATCAATTTCGCTGGTGCCAAAATGTTCAGTGGAATCGACACAGAGAGCACCACCACCGACAAGGCGATTAGCTGTCTGGGCAAGTAGGTTTGAGCTGGCCAAAAGCTCGGTGTGCAGACGAGCATTTCGACGTGGTAAATACACTTTAAAACGATTGAGGAGGCGGCCAATTTGCGAGACCCAGGAGGCCAGTTGCCCTTCAGATGGCAGTTGGCTCGAGTTACAAAAGCTAGAGAAAGGGGTAGGAAGAAAAATATAAAAATTAGCTGAGAAATTAGAAAAAATACCAAGAATAAATTGTATTATAAAACAAAACATTATCAGAGAAAGAAATAGTTCAAACAGTTC